GGATATCATCAATGCTATATCTGGTAGTCAACCATCAAAACGAAAAAAAACGAATCCTTAAACCAACGATTACACAATTTAGTTCAAGATCCACATACAGACACCAAGGTTCAGTTAAAATACATAGGACGTTTATTATCTTTGTAGAGTGTCGTGTTTGTTTTCTGTTGTTGTTAGTATTAAAGAATATTGTCATATATCTCATACATATATTTACTTCGAAGCATTTTTACGAGCAAGTACCCTAGCGAGCAAATGTTCTAAATCCGAGGTAAACATTGAGAATTTCGATTAAATTATAAATTGGAATAGATTTGACTAGAATTCTTACGTTAGTTTTTTTTTCTTAGCCTAGAATTGAGAAATCTATTAAACGTTAATATAATTGTTTTAGGATGGTGGAATTCGTATATGCGAATTGACAATCAATTCAAATTTTTGCCCATTAAATCATTCGGAATTATCTTATTCAAGGTATTTGAAATAAAACAATAAGAAAATTTAGATTTTTTTTTCTAAGTAAAAAATATTTATTAAGATATGAATTGGATGGTGCTGAGCAAACTGAAAAATATCCACCATCATTTCGTCTAACATTGGATACAATATCGTCAAAAAAAGCTTCACCAAATGATCAAGAGGCTATGTCAAAACAATTAGATAATACAATTAAAAAACCACAATGTTTATTCAAAGATGAAAACGAATTTCGACATACTATTGATGAATATGGTAAAGAAAAAAAAAAAGATTTAATTTTGTTTTTCTTTTATTTTAAAAAATTAATTTTTTTAAAAACAAAATAGAAAAACATTTTAAAATTTCAATTGGTATGATTGCTGTTGTCTATATTGATGTTGTTCTTTGTTAAAATGAAAAATAAAATCTAAATTATTTCTTTTTTTTCTATAATTAGGTGATGGTCATCAATATCATGGAACTTATAAAATAGAATCACCATCACCTAATCGTTCAACTAAACTCAATGTTGAACAACCAATATCTAATATTAGCAATACATCTTCACCTGAATTAAATCGTGATTCATCTTCCACACCTCAATCAACATCAACTTCATTTCCTAATCCATTTCAAGAACAACAAATTTTATCAAATCCCTCATTACAAGAAGAATCACAAACGAAAGATGATATAGCTGTTGGTACTCTTCTTGATATAACTGGTGATGATACACATCATTCTCAATCTCAACCAATAAATATAACAAATACAGAAAATGATTTATTAAATTTACATCTTGATACTCAAACAAATTATTCTACACCAACAATAAAAACAACAGATTTACTTGGTGTTGATTTTAATTCAATGTCATTAGATAAACCAATATTACATCGAAATGCATCTGAAGTTATTTTACCACCACCAATTCAAGCAACAACAATTCATAAAACAGAAATTAAATCTTCTTCAAATCAAAATATTAATCGGTTAGATCCATTTCAAGATTTATTTTCATCATCAACAACACAAAAAACATCAAGTAATGAAAGTCTTGCTACAAAACAAGCAGCTGGTAAGAATATTTCCTATATAGATGTCGCACATTTACAATACTTCTCATCATTCACCGTTTTGTTTCTCTTTCTATCGTTTCAATATATAAGAAAATGTTAGACTAAATTCATCGTCCCACTTCGGTGGGACATATAATAAAATTGGAACGATACAGAGAAGATTAGCATGGCCCCTGCGCAAGGATGACACGCAAAATCGTGAAGCGTTCCATATTTTTTTTTGCATTTTTTTTTAGCTACAGCTAAGTTAACCAATACACCACCAACATCTACAACATCAATTCCGCCTTATAATATCAATCAATCAAGTAAACCTGTCACTCCACCAACACAACAACCCATTAAACCTGCTACTCCACCAACACAACCAAAACAACAACCAAGTGAGCATTAGTCTTAACTTATTGACAATGATCATCTTAAACGAATATTTAGTTTTGCAATAGAAAGAGAGTCAATTATGAAAGATAACTTGTTGAGAATTTATTATCTTTGAATCGTATCAAAAAGTTTATTAGTCATATCTTTAAAAACAAATTTTTATTCAATATAAACAGATGAACAACGAAAAGGGATATACTTTCTTTGTATTGTTATTTCTTAGATCAGGTCTTGCGTATTGTAACACTTTCTGATTGAGATACCGTTACCTGTAATACTTGATCGAACTGTCTAGGTGGTTTTTATTCTTTTGTTCTATTTAATGAAAACAAAACCGATCCGTTTTAAAACTTAATCGTAAATAACGAATGAGTTACTATGAAAATGTTCATATTAAAATTAGATCCATACGAATATGAAATTTGTCTATCTATGTTTTGTTTTCCAATGAACAGACATCTATAAAGTCGTCGTTTTGTTACTTTATAGAGTTTTTTATTATACACTGAAGCATCTATCATCATGTAAGTATATAGTACGATAAGTAAATGAGAAGTGAATAGGAATTATTTCGGATCGTATTATAAAAACAAAAATGACTAACGACGATTATTGGTGATAACTAAATCAAAAAAAAAAAGATAAATAAAATTAGAGAATAGAAAACAGCTAATATATTAACATTTCCCTCAAACTAGTTTAATCAGTATTTTTAGTGTTTGAACATCAATAATAATAATATTTTATTTTTAGATCTGGTTAAACCAAACCCAAGTTCATCTCGTCCTCAATCATCTCCATTTGATTTTGATACATTAGTTCGTGAACAATCTGGAATGTCGGATTGGGGTTCAAAAGCACGACAAGGCACAGAATCTATTGGTGTTATTCGTAAAGCTGAATTAGTTAAAGAAATTGATCCAATTGTTCTTAAAGTATGTTTTATTTATTTATTTATTTATTTTGTATTTCTATTTAAATAAATAAAATAGGTTCGAGAATGGACTGAAGGAAAAAAGAGAAATATTCGAGCATTATTATGTTCATTATTAACTGTTACATGGCCTGAATGTACTTGGAGAGGATGTCAAATGCATGAATTAGTTACACCCGACCAAGTTAAAAAAGTTTATAGAAAAGCAGTACTTCATATTCATCCGGATAAAGTAAGAATAAAATTATTGTTTTTCATTTCAAATTAAAAATTTTTATTTTTATTTTTTTTAAAGCTTCGTGATGATCCAAATGAAGAACTAGCAAGGTTAATATTTGTGGAACTTAATGAAGCATGGTCTCAATTTGAACGGGAAACAAGTTAATCATCTGAACATTCCATTACTCGATTTCCTTTTTTTTGTTCTCCTTTTATTTTATGCTGTGTGCAATTCATATGTATTCATAGTGTCACCTTGTTCTAATAGACAAAAAAAAGCACAAAAAATACATTTCACCTTCTTTTAATTCTCAATATTTTTACCAGCTAACTGTGTTCGTTTGTGTATAATTATATATTTCCATTAATCTTTTTGTTTCCGTCTTCTTTTCTTTTTGTGTTTACGTATTAAAAATAAAATAAATCTAATGACTATGATAAAGAAAATTTATTGTTCATAGTTGAAGATATTTAAACTATTTCGTTTGTCAAAGATGTTATTTTGCAATATAAAAATGCTTTCTATAAACTTTGGTTCCGCCGAGTTATTATTATTGAAAAATCAGCACTGCCGATGTGATACAAAAAAGAACAAAAGTTTTCAATGCATGCGCTTCTATTTACTAAACGTGCTAATTTAAAGAGTATTTTTCAGGCTACAAAATCTCTACGAAAAGTTTTTCAATAAAAAGTTGAAATTATTCATTGTGAGTGACGTGAGTGATGATTATGAATATGGAAACGAAAAATCCTCTTGTAACTGAATGAGAAATCTAAAAATCAATTCTAAATAATATAAAACCTTGGCGATAGCGGGATAATTGAAAAACCAAAAGTCTCGCTCCGTAAAGTATAGTTTATAGCATGGAGACTATCCTGAAATTCTTGAACTTTTCTGACAGAGAGTTATTCGATAATTAAATTTTGATTTACAAGGCGGAAAATGTAGATTTGGAATCTTTAGTACCTTTCGATACTGAAAATTCTGTGGCGTTGATATATATTTGAAATTAGACTGGGAAATTAAGGTGATCAATTTTACTTTTTCAAAGTTTTTTTTCTAGCACATTATCATAAAGATTAACGAAAAAAAAGCTATAGACAAAATTATTTAAGATTATTTCGACAATTGTTTCAAAAGGTGGCACTCTATGTCGACTTTCTTCATGTCAAAAATAAAAAAAGCAAACTCAAAGAGGAACAACAACATACTCTCTATTCGATATAATCTTCATCGATTCTCCAATTGATTTATTATTAATCATCAATATTAAAAATGAAAAAGTGAGATAAACAAAAACAGATAATAGATATAAGCATAATTAACAACGAGTTGATAACTTACTTAAAAATAAAAAAAACTTCTAGCTCACATAAGATTTAGTACATCAATTTGAAGGTAAATTTACTAAATATTCAAAATTAGAAATTCTAGATGAGAAAACTTTTTCTAAGTTCTGATCAATAGAATGTAATACGCTACTTGTACATACAACACCAGCAATGAGAATAAGGGTGAAATCTATGACCAGAAAGGATTTGATCGGAACTACGAGAAACAAAAAGTTGTCTCGATTTGAATTAAAGAATATTGTTATATATTCTATGATTTTAAGAGAATTATCTTACAAATGAACTCAATGAGAACATTTATTGAAGAATTATTTTTAGATGTGACACAAATAAATTCTGGAAGAGTTTTCTCTAAGTCGAAATCAAGACCAAAAACGACTTAATCCTGCACACCTTTGTTTTCAACATTTAACCACGAAACTAATATGAATAAGATTTGAGATTTCATTGTAAATAAGAATTCTTACTGAGATATATACGGAAAATATTTTTTTTCGTGGATTAATCTTAATTATTCTTCATTTTTATTATAATTTTTATTTGAATAATTGATTTAGTAATTTGAAAATCAAACTATGGCATTAAACTCATCTTTATCTGCTGCTGATCATATTCAAAAATTAATTCATGATTATCCAGTTGTAATTTTTTCGAAATCTAATTGTCCTTATTGTCATAAAGCAAAAAAAATTCTATCAAAATATACATTAGATAATAAATATTATGTTCTTGAACTTAATCAATTATCAAATACTGATGAATATCAAACAGAATTACAAAAATTAACAAATGATAGAACTGTACCACGTATATTTATTGATGGAAAATGTATTGGTGATGAAGAAGATCTTGAAAATTTAGAAAAAACAGGTGATTTGAAAAAACAATTAGAAGCAATTAAAGATTTATAAACGAATTTTATATGTATAATAATCAAGCATTGTTTTCAAAAAATAAATTCTAGTCAAGCTATACACATTTTTTTTATAACATTAGCAGGCATATATCGACACTGAAAAGTATCTGATTGAATGAACACCTCCGGTAATTCTCAAAATGATTCATCCAGATTTATTTCCAAAATACAGAGAGTTTTATGTTTGAAAATGAAAATGATTACTAGTTTTCCAACTATAGGGTCTCTGAAAAAGCAAAAACTAAGTTTTTTCAGCTTCAGTTCTCTACGCCATTTTTTGACCGAGATATATCAAACTTATGGACAAGCACAAAAATGATATTTTCATACGAAATAACAGAAAAGAAAACAAACCTGAGTGAATAATTTTGGAAGCCACTGTAGATCGTACAAACTTTTCAAAGAAACTTTCAATATTTTTCTATTTATCAAATGATTGTAAAATGGATTATTTTATTCGTTTATAATTCAACATTTTTATATAATCTTATTCATTTTCTATGACAATGTTTTTTCATTATACAGTCCATGTACTACTTTTACGATCATCATAATTCCATGTTTCATCATTTTGATGCCTGCATCGTATCCATAAAAAACCAATTATAGCTAATGCAATCACACTAACGAATACTAACATAATTGTGCTGCTTCTAAAATATAAAACAAAAAGAAAAACTAGTCATAAAATATTATTCTTTGTTCTTGTTTTTCTTTGATTAGGTCAAGTTGTTTTAAAATTTGTATAGAAATAGACGATTTTTATTATCATGTTATTAATCAAAAATATTATCAAATTTTAAATAAAATCGCTATTATTAAAGTATAAATAATTTAATTGATCATACGGTGACATTGATGTTGAAGATTTCTCTGATCTTTCATTAATATTATCGTCAGTATCGGACGGCAATGTCGTAAGACGACGCGGAATACCATCATCAACAGCCATTTTTCTTTGAAGACAAATTGGTGATAATTGTTCATTAGGACAATAATATGGTGAAATACCACAGTGAGGTGGTTGACAATTCGGATTAATTGTTGGCTGAGGTGGTGCTATTATATATGATACTTATGCTTATTCTATTAGGTAGAAAATGCTTACGAGATGGTTTTCTATCAAGAAATTTATTGACTATAGGTGCAACCTGATCCACTACGCCTTCTACAAAAGTTAATATGGTTGTAATAACATTCATAATTACTTTCATATCCACCATTATAATTAATCTGTATATCGTAAAAAGAAAAAACAACGCTCGAAATCAACAAAACAACCGATATTTCAAAAAAAAAAGAAAGAAAAAAAATCAATTGAATATAAAGAGTTGATGGCGCTGAGTTTTAATTTAGACTGTAACTACAATAGTTTAATAGTCATTACAATAGACGTCAAAAGTTTCACATCACTTTTTTGTTTTAAGCCGTGCATTTAAACTATACAACATTAATTTAATTTGACTACATGCATGTATAGTAGCAGGCGAGTACTATATCCATACACCTGTTTAATATGATAAAAAAACAAACTTCAGTACTAAGAAAAAAGGATAGGACAAAAGAGACAAAATGATATTTTTGTTATAAAGAATCCTGGCGGATCTGTTGACCTATTCAGAATTGAGAAATCACATATACCATGTTGTAGAACAAGTCTAGACGCGTCGAATGATATATAGTAAATGATATTTTCATAAGATTTTGAAGAAACTAGAGTCAATTTACTGATAAATGACTATGCATCCACAGCATGATCAATTGTTGATCATTGTAATCCTTGATATTAGTCGAAAGTGTTTGTAAAAAAATTTCTTATTTACAGTTTTCTATAGCTTTTAACGGGCTACAAGGTCATATACTTAACATCAGCAATAGGGAAAAATACGATTTTTTGATGATTTATCATCATTATTCGCTAATAATGACTCTTAGTATATTCAATAGTGTCAACCATAGCAGATGTGATCAAATATCAAACTTTCTCAGAAATCGCCTGTGATGTAGTTAGCACTGCAAAAAAAAACACTGTTTAAAAGTTGGAGTGCTAGTGCGATTGAAAGGAAACCTCGCATTCACACTCACACTCGCGGCTTCTGCCACAATGGGTAAACAATGATTGAGTTCGTTTACATGGTAATTGAGAACAGCAGAAGTTCAACTCCTTTCCCAGAGTTCCTCAATAATGAAAAAAAATACTGAATAGGATTCAGAACACAGCTTAGATTATTCTAAAATGTTCTAAAGCCTTTCTCGAAGTTGGAATACATTAGTGAATATTTTAAATAGTGCAGTATAATAGACTACAATATGATGTAAAACTCTCAAGAAAAATCAGCTATTTTTATTCCGTTAGAATCACATGGTGTATTCTTAAAGAAAAAGAAATTATTTTGAAGATTCAATTAATCTTACCAATAAATTGATTGAGAAAGTTATTCCTTGACAACATTTTTTGAAAATTACTTTAATTTTATCAATAAATTGTTCGATAAAATAATTTAAAGAAAAAAATATTTAATGTACAGAACTTAGGTTATTATTGAATTGTATTATTGTTTGACAGAGACAGAGTTTAAAATGTACTTCAAAAGTATACATATATGGGATATGAATCATCTATTAGAACATGATTGTACATTGAATTATGCAAGAAAATTTTGAAGAACAAAATCATACTTATTGACAAACATGTTCGTTTATTGTTGGATAAATACTCGAAACAGCTTTTAAATCAAATTATAATGTTGAACTTTATTTATTTCTACCACCACAATTTCAATATGGCTCATTTGCTTATGATACTCAATTTAATCTCGGTAAAAAATAAAACAAACTTGAATAGAATATAACAAATAATGCATTGATTTTTTTAAGAGATAAGCAACCTAAGTGTGATCTTCATTTTGAATGTTTACATATAACTCAATCTGTCGCTGAAGAAATATTTTCATATAATCGATTTAGTGATTATCATCTTGATATAACTCATGAATCATTAATATTATCAACAAAACAATAACATTATAACAAAGAAGATTTTGTTGATGTTCTCAGATATCGAAAATCGAAACTAGTCATGCCGAATTTGTACAAAATCTTTATTAATCGATATCTATTCTATGAGTATGAATGTGAATGTAAATACTCTTTTCAGTCAAACCTCACACCCACATTCCAACGATAATGGTTAAGTATTTCTGAGAACGAAAATCTTTCAAGTTCAATTTATTGCAATAATTTTCATCTAATCTTTTATTAGTCTTAAGTCTGAATCGTTTTTATATATCCAATTATCATCATGTAATTGATTTTCACTATGATCATCTAGATAATGTCCACATGTTTACTACAAAAGTGTCTACTACAATCAGTTAAAAAAGAAAATGTTTCAGAATATCATCTAAATAATTATTGAGCAGATCATGAATAGCTAATTCTTACATGTAAAGCAATGAGTTTTTCTTTAATATTAACACTTATCAAAGTTTCATCACTTATTTTAGTAAGGTTTATTAGTACATTTATTGACAACAGCTCGTCTCAAAAATAGTCTTATATCGTCAGGTTATACAATTGATGCAAATATTGTTCGATTCATTTTTGAATCAAATTGTACAGTTCGAACAGGAGCAAGTGTTTGAGATTTTAATTCTTTTTTATGAAATTCATATGAAAACAAAGAGCAGTTGTTGGAAAAAATTGATTATTAGTCAAATGTTATTGTTGGTAAACGAGTAATGGTTGAACTTGTACAAAAGAAAAATTTAATAATAATCGATACTAAAATTCGACTTTCTCAAGATGCAAATATATTAATTGGAATCAAAATTACTCAAGAAAAACTACATGAATAATATTTTAATTTATTTTTATGTTGATATCTTCGTTTTATTTTATTCAGATAACAAAGAAATAGCTATTATTTACTATATATGACAAATGTCATTTAAAGAAACATGCTTTATTCAAAAACAAATACTTCTCGTTACAACGACGATCGTCGAAATAAACATGTTGACATATATACGAGGTGTTAAAAATAAAATAACCTTTTCATGAAAGATACACATAAAATTTTTTACGATGCGCATCACCTTATAGCGATCACTCGAGGTTTTTTTCTTTCTCGAATTCTACATTTAAAGTCCACATTTGGTAATGCAATGATCTTGAGAACGACACATTGTCTGATGCTTGTTGAAATGTCATTAAAGACATTGAGATCTCTGTATCATACAAATTTTAAGCAATTTTCAGTATGATGTTTTGCTCGCCTAAAATAAAATCTGAATGTTATAAATACTCTATAGTCTTAGCAATGATTAATTATCGCTAGTACTAATGATTTGACATTGTTTTTGTTAACTAACAGACCTCTATAAGATACTACTAATAATACCGTTTATTATGGTTATGCAAGAAAAAACGAGAGTGAAAAATATCAAAGATTTGTAGAGAAAACAGAACAAAATTTTCAAGACGTAGATGACAATGAATATTTGATATAAATATAAACGACTACAATCTCATACATTTGTATGAATATAACAGGCAAAGCTTATATACAGAAGACGCTTAAGGTCGATATTTATCAACTTGAAACAAAATGTTTGGTGAAACATGATATAGTTTCCTAGCAATTTCACAATATGAACAAATTGAATTAAGGAATGTATTTTTTTTTCCATAATAACCAGAGCAAGATTAAATATAAATTCAACAATGACTTTCAGTAATAATAGTAAATTTTCATTATTCGATAGGTACTAAGAGTTCTTGTTATCTGTGCAATGTCAAAAACTTAATCGAAATTCAAAATACTTTGCACCTTTCTCGAACTTTGTGCTATGCTCAGATGTTGTCTAGTTTCGAGATAAGTTCAGAATATTTTGAGTGATCTTGTTTATACAGACATTTTTTTACTCCAATACAATTTGTAATTTGTGTTTCACAATCGTAGACAACTTAAATTCATTCATTCATATAATTATTCTAATTCTAATTATGATAAATATAGACAATTCATTTAAAATAAAAAATAAAACTGTAAGCAATGCAGAATAGTATTATTATCTTGCTCTTTTATCAATGTGAAGTAAAACGAACCAAAATAAGATAATGCGAAGTACACACTTCTATTGACATTATCACATCGAAAAGAAGAAAATGAAAAAAAAGAAATAAAAGATCAGAATTAATGAGATCATAGAGTATCAAATAAAAGATTCTTCATCGATGATCAAGATTAAAAAAGATCACATTCATATAAGCTTTCTTATTCAATTAATGTAGAACTTATTATGCAAAAGGATTTATGTAATTTATCTTGAATCTTCGAAGACAATTTTTTACTGGTTGACAATAACTAAGATTAAAATTTCGTTTGCATTCTCAATTCTATGTTATGACATGCAAAATGTACACATTTGAAAAAGAAGATATCATCACGTGAAATGTTACGTATCATAAGAGAAAGGGCAAATAAGGGAATGAAGACTTCATATATATAAAGGGTGTCCCATAATGACTGATGATGAATTGTTAATGATATTTTTCATACTTTTCTTGACGTAGAGAACTGAAATCTTTATCACATATACATCTAATTAAGATAAATTATTTCTGATAGTTTTAGCCCTCTAGTTATGTTCAGGTCTTTATGTCAAGAAAAAGTATGAAAAATATCATTAACAATTTATCCTTAATTATTATGAAACACTCTTTTATGTATTTCACCAGTAGTTATAGCTAATGAGCTGAAACTATCACAAATAAAATACCTTGATTTGATATATATGTGACAAAAATTTCAGGTCTCTACGTCAAGAAAAAGTATGAAAAATATCATTAACTATTTATCATCAATTATTATGGGACACCCTTTATATATGTATATAAATCATCATATAGCAAAACTCAAGAATTGAAGAAAGAAAGAATATGTATATTAAAGTTTGACTTTATTCTAGATGCTCTGTAACATAATTCATTCATCTGATGTTCGTCCCGGTGATCATTTATATCGATATCGATGGTTTGAAATACAACAAGGTGTTGCCGTTCAATTTCCAAAATTATCAACCATATTTGTTATTACATATTATAAAAACACACTTACACTGGTTACTCTAAAAGAATTTAAAGGACAAAGTTGTTTAAAACGTGTGACCTATAAACAAGACAATAATAATTATGCAAATAAACTGAAATTTAATCGCCGTCGACCATCAGAAGAAATAGTTGAAAATGCTTTTCTTCTACTCAATTGGATAAAAATTTCACCTGATCGTGTTAAATCACTTCTTGGTAATGATCTATCTCAATTCGCTCGTAAATGCTGTACAACAGTTCATCAAGAATGGCATAATGCTTTTCATCCAAATCCAGAACACACATCTACAAAAAAACATTTTGACACAAGTATTTCATATATATAAATATTTTAAAAGTATTTAATTAATTTAACATTATTCTAGAACAAATATCTCGTAATAATGATTCATTCAATGCTGCACTTATGTGTGGAATTCCTTTTCGTCAAGCTTCAAAGATTGGAACTGATGAATTTTGGACTGATAAATATGATAACAAAAATTGTTCGTCACAAACTACGAGAAACGGTATGACAAACTCTTCTTTTATTAACAAATAAAGTAATATGAGTTGGTTTTAGATGATGAAGATCACTTGTTATTACTTCTAGAAGATACTTCAAATGAACCTATGGTGTTTTCTTCTACATTAAATGAACTTTCATCAGATGATGAATTTTTGTGATATTCAATGTTGTAAAACATAATAAAATTCAGAGCACTCTAGATTAATAAAAGAATCTTTGATGTGAAACAGTCTTCGCGAAAGAAAATTCATCGTATTCTCTGACTATTGAAAATCATAGACGGAACATTATTTATAAACAGATTTAAAAAACAGATAAAACAAATACGGACTAAAAATGGTTCATCTTATGATAGTATCAGTCATTGAACATGAGATGGAGTAATAGTAATAGGAGTGTCATATTAGAATTAGTATTACTATTAGTTCATAATAATTCTAATGCTTCGACATTAATGTTAAAATTAAATTTAATCCTTTGGCATTATTAAGTATTGGAAATAATGAATACTAAGGCTACCCGTCACTTGACCTTGGTCATTTTAGAATCAAAAGTTTTCAAAACAGAACAAAATTATTCTTTTGTTGAAAACGTTTGAGCATGAATAGGTATTAACGGATGGGGCAAAAGTTCTGCATTTATGTTGTTTGTTATATAACGTTGAAATGCAATATTGTACAGAATTCAAACTCTTTTGTTAGAAAGGGCAATAGATTTAAAAGAATTTGATTGGAAATATTTTTCAAAGGTCAGAAAAATCTTAAAACAAGCAGTATCAGAAAACTTTTTCGAAACTTTTTTAAAAAACATGAGACGATAAGAGCTTTTTTCTTTCTAAAAAATTTTTGAAAAAAAACTATATGGCGATAGTAAGTTGCTCATGGGTTACAATATGGGCACATTTATTCTCCTTAGTTCGATATCAAAAATTTTTGAACTTGTACTCCCCCAAAGCATACCTAGCAAAAAATTTGTTTTTTTACCAAATACATTTCACTATATAGAGTCGATAGTGCTAATCACGAATATCAGTATGGTTTTGATCCAATGTCTTTTAATAAGTTAGGATGCGAAATTTCCGATGATTTTGGTCCTCAGTGAAAACTTAAGATTTCTTGTATTTTTTGAGTCAATGTCGTTTTAATTTAGCGTTCTAAATTTTTGAAAACTTTTCCCAAATAGGTAATCGAGTATCTTCTATCTAATGATGTAAAAATTGTAGTATCTTAATACATAAAGCAGGTTTGGGTGTGAGTATGGATGCGAATGCAGTTATGACTGTGGTTGTAACTCTGGGTGGGGATGAGTATGGATATTCTCTTTAACCTCATTCATACCCACATCCTCGAGTATGTAGTAACTAGCAGATGTCACAACGTACGTAAAATAGGCGAATATCATTAATAGTACATATACGTAAAATGTGTGTTTTAAATTAAGGATCTAGTTACATCCGTTAGTTATTATGTAGTTATGTAGTGTTATATATTTACTATATATTACAGACCGTTTGGACTTCTTGAAGTTCTTTAGGCTATAATAAGATCAAAACTTGCCATCGGTATAGCGAAAAATAGCCACTAGTCCATAATGCAGTTCGTTTGCTGAATTTTGCCGAAGTTTAAATTCAAGTTTTAATGTATCGTTTGATAGAACGTTTCATGATCTATCTTCAGTAGATGCACTATTGAACCCTTGTGGAGATGTTTGATTTTTAAGGCGTTTTGTAGCACAACACCGTGGTCTCCCTCAGATTCATCAGAAAAATCAACTTTCGAATTTCGACTTGAAACTTTGCGCAAAGAAAGATCTCGATGAGACTAGTTAACTCTGAAATTTTCAAAATTCTTGGTTGCTTCTATCCTTAAATGTGAACATTTCACATTTTGTGCTATAAGCGATGTGAAAAAGAATATTTTTTTCGTATACTCGTATCTCGTGATAGAATGAACCCAAAAATTCAAAACTTTGAGAATAAACTAGCTTCATTGAGACCTCTCTCTGGGAAAAGTTTCAAGCCGAAATTCGAAAATGGATTCTTCAGGTGAACTTGGCGGGGACCACGGTTTTTTGCTAAAAAATGCCATAAAAATGAAATATCTCGACAGAAATAAGTTATAAGTATGAACTCCTTTCAGAATGCTCATAACTCATTAGATCCTACATGATACACATAGTCTCGGTTCAAAAGCGATTTAGCAACTGAAAATTGTTCCTGATCTTCTTTTTCTGTCCATTGTACCCTACACCCACCCTCATGTCCACCTCCATCCCCCACAATCCACACCTCACTCACACCCACCCATAGTGCGGGCCCCGTTCTTGAGAACTCGGTGTAGATATTTATTTCGGGGGATACAAATCCTTAAATAGGTCTCTAGAAATTGGAATCACACTGTAGTTTTCTAAGCTATTATGCTAAGGAGTCAAGAAAAAGGTGTGGGTGTAAAAGGAAGATCCAAACTCACATCTACATCCAAATCCACACTGACACCCACATACATACCATTTTTCTATCTGAAATCTTAAAGATGAGGGTGTTTGGATGAGAGTGTGCCGTGAGCAGCTATGAGATCGGCTTGTCACCTTCACCGATCTTCATTCTTCACGTAACTGCGAGTTGTCTTTGAAATTTTTTTTCACGCCATCACATATGTCGTAGTCGCTTTCTTTTCTTTTTCTTCGCTATGGCAATTTCTTTTGCCGCAGAAAAAGCGATGAGAAAATCGAACCATAGTCCCACATGACGGTAGGGCTCACTTACTCTCCGACTACGAAACATTATCTTATTCTTCTTCATATAGCAGCACGACTATACGATGCTCAAGTTTCAAGGCATGTGTCGTCTCGTTTAAATCAGAGAATATATTTAGTTGATAAAGCTCGCTCAAAACAGAAACAAACATATAATTTGCATTGACCATCTGAGATCAAATTGCGGAGAATACTAATTCAAAAGAGTTTTATGCCGAAACGCATTTCAGAATCTTGCCAAAATGGAATTACAATCTTCATTAGAAAGTTTGTTTGCAAATAGTATTGAGAACGATTTCAACCACGAATATTTCTTTCTCTAACAAGAGAAGGAAAATATTCCACATTCCAGTTTCTTCCAACAATGTGTGTGTGTCCGCGAGCACTCTCTAATGCCGTATTTTCAAATAGAATAGAGAAAAAAATTTTCACTCTTTCGATAAACAAATATGCATGGCATAACTCTCCTATGAATGTTGTTGCGTTATTTTATGATTCTAGTGTTCCATATGTCGCTCATCTTATTGCTCGTGTCGACGATAAGCAAGGCTTTTCCAACGAATTCTCGTATTTCTACTAACGAGTACGATTATCAAAGTGTAATTGGTTTTGGATGTCATACGAACGCGAATTGCGATGGTCTGGTTCCTAATACAATATGTGTGAAGAACCAATGCACCTGTCTACCTGGATATATTCCGAATGGAATTTGGAAATGTCTTCCGGTGACGCGTACGAGAGATCATTGATTTCTGACTGTGCTGTATCACATTTGTTGCCAGTTGAAGAAAGAATTTTAAAAGATTTTAGATAAATAGTTCTCTTGATGACATTTTTTTCTGTATTTAGAAAATATTAGAAAGTAATAATTGATCGAATATACAAATGACGAGACGGACGGAACGATTGACTCAATCTTGATTGTTTTTGTTTGTTTCGGTGGAAAAAAAAATATGAATAAATGAAATATGAAAGAAACGTTATGACAAATTGGTTTCTTTCCTAAGAACAGCATTAGAATACAGAAAAAAAAGATCAACGTCCTTTAGAATGGGTCAAATCCTCCTATATCAATCTCAAATATACAGTTGAATGCCAAAATCTTTGCTCTTGTGTAGGCCACCATTTCAAAAGCATACTTTCAGAAGTTGCTGCGAAGTGAGTTGAGTTCAATATATACTCGTGTAAGCTGCTAACCGTTATAAACTATCTTGAGTTGAAGAAAAAACGCCTCAGCAACGAACCTTCACTTAACTAAATTCATCGAGAAATAGATCAATCTGCAAGTCCCAACTTTTGCTTTTCAGCAATCGATCTTTGTCGAGCTACACTTAATCAAAATCAATTATGCTTGAAAATGAAATAAATAATGCAGAGTTTCAATTCGCCGATCCCTTTCGTATCTTTATTGATATTAAACTCTTCAGGACCTTGCATTACAATATTCAAGCACAATTAAGAAAAAACAAGAAAGAGAGTAAGAAGATAAAAGAGAAAATCAAAAAACATTCCAGAAGAGTACTTCAAAAATGAATAGAATGTGGGTTGAGGCGTATGGGTGTGGATGTGGGCGTTGATGTGGCTATCGTTGTAAGTAAGAAGAAGGCCAACACTCACACCCCCACCCACAATCACAATCACATTCACATCCACACCCATAGCTACTCCCTCACTTGCACCCACACCCACATCCTAACCCAAAAAGAAGCCAAAAGTCCAAAATTATCCTTGTCATATTATTGGGAACATATCAAGCATACTGCAGCGAGACATACAAGCGCTTGCTAAGATGAATAAGCCATTTATTGTGTATGCATCTATTAGGAAAATTTAAAAAGACTAAACCGTAATGTGAGAGAGATAGTGGTTTTTAAAACGTGTTTCACGCAGACAAACATACACACGGACAGACATTTTGGTTTTAATTTCCGATTCCAGACCCTAGCCTTTCAGTTTATAGAATACTCATTAACAATCGTATTTCACGAAATCCATAGACGGCCAGAGATCTCCGAATTCTCAATAAGTAAGTCGTATTCATTTTTTGTATTGGTGGTCCAGGCAGTCACAAACTGTCGAAAACGCGTGTAAACGCATAAAAAAAAGAAAGAAGCGATAGTTTTTTGCCCACAATGGTGGTCCCCGAATATCAGAGAAAAACGATCAGTTTTTCCTTTTTTGTGCGTTTACATCCGTTTTGGGCAGTTTGTGACTGCCTGGGAGAGTGTATCATATTCGTTGATAGAAAAGTGTTGTAATAAATTTGGGATTTATAAAAATTGTAGAACAGTGAGTGAAGCCTATTGTTACACTGGATATGCAATGAGCATGAGTTATACTCTGTACTATTCTTTCGTTTAAAATCGTTTGGCTACGCCAGTATATCTTGACTAGAACTGAATTGTTGTTAATTTTTTCTATCAATATAACGTTTGTTTTCGTCAGCACGCTGTTGTCGAATAATAATATAGAGAAGAATGGACCAGAGGCCTTCGAGTGCATTGAAAACGATAAAGAGCCAATTTAAGCCCTTGGCACCGCTTACATCGATAAGAGTTAAAAATGGACCAGCAAGCCAGCCAAGACCTTGAGTAATGCACGATGATAGTAATACAAGTACACATAGTTTCATCCGTTCGTACTGTTTGTCAGATTGGTTAGATGAAGGAGCACGTCGTACATGATCGATAAGGCGTTTGGCAACATAAATAATGATGAAAAGATTGAGAAGGAGAAATATACAAGTGGGGATTGTCAAAAAATAATAGATAACATGTCGACTGAACCAACAAATTTGATATGGATATAAAGTGGTGATCTCAAATGAAGTATTTGAATTGAATCCGACAGCAAAAGTCATACATATTATCGAAATAAGAAAAGAAGTCATGAGCAAGCTATTAAGTCGTTTGAATGATGGTTCTGAAAGGAGATAAACGAAACGGAGATAATTGAAATATCCGACACTTGTTTTACAACAGAACATGAAGAGTAAAAGAAAATAGACGATGAACATGAGTACGCTTGCACTTCGAAAGCAGATATTCTGATTTGACGATTCTGTTTGTGTGTAAACAGTCAAAACGAGTGCAATGTAGAAAATAAAAAGAAGTATAGTGCTTGCACATGAAATAAGTGGCGCCAAGTCTCGTGGCTTCAACCTGATGTTTGAACTAGCGATGCGAGTGATACTAATATGTATGATGATAGCTAAGAAGCAGGCGATGGAAACTAATTGAAACACAAGAGAAGCAATATCTTGAGCGTCGAAACTTTTTTTGCCATTGTTTTGTATAGTTCGTGGCAACCAGACAAGAGCAAACGTGGTCAAATGATTGCAACTACATTCGAATCGTTTGAATTTAGAATTGAAAATTGGTCGACTACAGCCTGACTCATTCCAACTAGAACTGCGCACATTATAGTACGAGCAATAATAGTCAATATCGCTGACATTAGGTTCGAATTCGGGTAGAACACTGAGATAGATCGTAATATTTATATTTTTAGAATTTGACTCAATGTTAGGTAGTGTTTTAACCACCACTATCGACGATGAAAGTGTCTTGTTAGAAGAATCGTTCAAATGACGATATTCGATAGGTGGCCTATCAATTACGAGTACACCAAAATAGGTAATACCAGCACCAATCAATGAGCTAGGATTAAGAATTGCTGCGGCTGTCAAATTCGAGTTGATTATGTCAGCTTCAGTCGAATTCTTGATGATCTGACCACCGGAACCAGACTGAAACGATGCACCTAATGCAATATCCTTCTCATCCGTTGGTCGGCATATGATGAAAGACGTAGCTGCATTGAGAGTAACACTGTAATTGAGAAACCCAACCAAAGTGTCCACATTAGCTAGCGGTAATGTTCTGTTTCGGTGTTGAGATAAATTCGGATTAGAAATCGAACTAAAATACACTGTGAGAGCATTGGCGATTTGAGTACTATCCGCAGTATTTGGCAGGTTGAGTAGAAAGTCTATTGCTTCATTCTAAATTGAAAAAGAAAAAAAACAAACTCAACAGATAAATGTCAATTTTGATGAAAAAGTGCTTATGTTTCGTCGTACATTCGCATCAATGATCGTAATGCACGAACCATTGAGGCCTGGCATCAATAATGAACTGTTACAAGAGTTTGGATTATAAAATGGTGGAGTGCTCGTCGCTTTAGTACTGTAAAATTGTGCCGTCGATGCCATCGTCGAACATGTTAGATTACGAAGGGCACTCAGATCGCCAAGCGCAAAGGTCAACTCATGTCTGATCTGAGAACAAAAATCGAAAATGTGAGATTCCTGTAAAATTGTCTTTCCACTTACCTCTTTAAAAATTTCCGGCTGTGAACAATCGTCAGCTCGACAATAAACATCAATTTTCTGTAGTTCAATTTGACATTCCGCTTTGTTCAAGCACAAAATGCCTTGCATCTCGATACGATGTGGATTTATTTCAAATTGAGAAATATTAGGTGGAACACAATAGGATTGATAACATTTTACACCACTGGTGGAATCATCGAACGTATCCGAAACAAGACAAGTGGTGTTGCACATCACGATGGGGCATCGGCTAACATCGAGAAAGTCACTTGTGCTACATTGAGGAGCATTCAAACAATGGCGACAGCCGCGCACTGGCTGATCATTACCTAAAACCGTTGAGTTCAACCATGATTCGTTCAGATCTATGTGAAAACTGGTCGGAAGGAAAGGCACAAGATCGGGTTTGTTGCATAAATCCCAATTGCATCCGTAAACGATCAAACTCGTAACGTTGAACCATTGGCCATTGGTTTGATTATAGATAATCGATTCTTCGATGAGTAAATAGGGAAAATCACGGATGTAGACAAGAGTCGAATTGCGATTAACATGTTCGAGAAAAATAGAGACATTTTGATGGACATTCTGTCGGACAATGGTGCAATGGGTACTGTTAGTTGAATTTATTTCCAGTTTAGTTGTACACGGACATGTTGGACCTGTGCACGAGCAATGGTAGCATTGGAGAGGAGACGATCGTTTAGTAGGTATTGTCCTTAACAGATGCATTGTTTTCAGTGCTGAACTTGGACGAACGATTGGAAATACTGTTAAGTTGTTGATCTCGACATAGAGTTGCTCTTTGATTTCTCGAAAGATGCTCGGACGAGAGCAATTGATGACACTACAAAACACGTCCAATCTCCGAATATCATAATGTGAACGATTCTGAGCCAAGTAGATAATGGCTTCAATTTGAACTTTGTACTTGCCATCGTTAATTGCACTAAAATCGTCCGATCTATATTCCTGTGCACAATTTGAATGATAGCACATCTCTTCCATGGGAGTATTGCTCCACACATTGCTGAGAACACACTATAAGGAAAAAGTTCTTTTACCAAGACTGGATAGTTCTGATCTCTCCCGGTCATAGTTATAATCGGCAGAAGTATTTTCCTACCGGTACCGGTCGTGTACCGCTCTACCAGACCGGACCGGTCAGTCTAGTAACTACTAGTGTTCAAAAATCCCATCAGTATTCACCGATCGGTCTACCGGCAGCGAGCGACTAAAAGGTCTATTAGTGTCTATCGGCCACCTTACCAGCAATGAATGACCAAATCTTCAATCATGCTGATTGGTTGAAGACTATGTTCATGTCATTTGACTAATTCAAATCAGTAACAATGCTGTCGATCATTGAAATACTCGCTCTAACAGACTATATAGAGAACTATCATTTTGTCTTTCAGATACAGACATGTAATAGTATAATGTTTTTTGCATTTTATCTTATCCGCCAAATTTATTCTTTACTTCAGTCCTACACAATTCTATGAAAAACTAATGGAATTCACTCTACATTCTATAAAAGAAATGAAAAATCATTACTTTTTTCCAAGAAGTTATCCACTACCGTGAAACATCATAACTGTGCTTGCATTCTCTTCAGACATGTATCAGTGTCAGTGTACTGATCACTGATGACATTGACGCTGGTTCCACTGATAGTATCTACACACTGACACACCAACTCCACGACCTAATAGTGTCTTTGATCGATATTCGAAGTCTGAAAATGATTTCTTTCTACACAAGGAAAGATTTTTGGGATATTCTGTACGGTTGATGCTGGTCCTATCCATATATGCAATGTGTAACTCTATCTGAATATACGGTCTCATGAGTCTGAATCAATGGACATTGGAGGTATTCGGTAATCCTTTAGCAACGTGTTAGGTGCAATTCTACAAAGCTCTTAATCAGACAAGGTGGAAATAAACGACATTTCTATGCGTTTAAAAAGTCACATTTTATCTGTGAAAACATCGTTTTCCTTCAAATTTTGTCTAAG